AATAAAAATATTTCTCAACAAAAATGTTTCTCAACAAAAATGTTGCTCAACAAAAATGTTGCTCTACAAAAACGTTGCTCAGCAAAAACGAGAGAAAGATAATTTTGACTCTATAGAGTATTATTCGAAACAAGTAAAACCTAAAAAAATTAACAAAAATGAGTAGAATAAGAATAAAAATAGAGCGTTTGAAAACAGTTGAAAAAATGGCGGAAATATAAGCACTGAAAATCTGTTTTCCAGTTAGCTCTTCTTAACATATTAAAATTAAATAAAATCTTCTATCTTTTTCTGTGCCATCTTCTACATTAAGATTTTGAGTTGTTAATTAGTCGCTACGCAATTATACCGACTTCAAGCTCTTCCGACCCTTTTTACTTCAACCAATGTGAAACAAAACAGCTGAGATCATAAATAACCCACCTTCCGTTCATCTCACGAAATGTAACGGAATCGGAAGAAAATTTTAAAACTGTATTAATTAAAAGTTAAATAGTTATTGTAATAACATGACTTACATAAGATTATTGCGCCACTGAGTGGAGTCCGAAGTGAAGAGTGAAAACGACGTAAATAGAAAAAAAGACGCAAAAAACATAACCTTCAAATTTTCCATCATTATGCCTTTCACTCTACCGAGAAAAAAAGACGAGGAACCAAGAGCAAAAACAAACCAAAAGCAACGTACATTCAATTGCCAACGAATATAACTCGCCGCTTTCGGAAGCCATTTGCCATTTGCCTAATTAGAAATGACCGAGCGGCCGAGCGATGGAACGATGGAGAGACGCAGTGACCGCCTCAGCCGCAAACGAGTGGTAATAAGAAAAACATTGAAACATTAACCAGAAGAAGAACCACATTTCACAAATTCACGAATACAGCCGCAAAAGCGAGCAACAGAGGAGGGAGGGAAGCAGATGCAGTGGTGGAAAATACTTTTGCTGAACGCTGCCTAGCCGGAGAAATGAATGAATGAATGAATGAATGGAGTTGAAGAAACTTGCCAACCTTAAATTGCAATTATCGCAAAATACTACATTTGCCAAACGAGAAAGGCCGACGCAAGGAGAAGCAACTCAGACAAACATGCAAATAATATGTACGTGTGTACAATGAAATGTGATGCAAAAAATTAAAGGAAAAAAATTTATTATTTTTGCTCAGTTTAATGAATTTTTTTTTTTTCATTTGCTGCACATCGCTTATTACACCCTACACAGTGGGGATGTAAGAAGGGCAGTGAGTGATGGGCGTTGCGGTAGACATTGGCGTTTTATACAGTTACATAATTTACCGACCGTCGTTTGACGTTTGCTCGCCTCTTCTGTGATGATGCCATGCTCATGCCATGAAAAGTGTAATTAGTAATTCATTGCGAATACTTGGAATATATGAATAATGCAAATGCAGTGTTGGGAAACGCTCAATAAATATTTTAATTTTTTTTTTTTTTTTGATGAATCATTTACATCTCGGAGCGGAGGTTAAGGTGGCGGATTTTGTCTTCAAAATTATGAGAAAGTAGGTTTAATAGAAAGCCGATTGAAGAGTATTCCAAAAGGCTATTCAAAACAAATTTCCTCAGTACCTTCTAAGTGATTTTTTGCAACTGAATTCCACTCATGCCTATACTCTGTAGCAGATATTTGTTGAGAATTTGGTAAATATAGTTCGCTCTCATTTTTCAGTCAAGAGTTTCTCTTAACGAATACCTATTGGATATGATCACTAGAGAGCTTTGCCAACAATTTGAGCATACACATCAGAAGAGGTGAACGTCCAACCACCTTAAGAGGGGAGAGATATGGTCTAGTTATGAGAGAATACAAGCAAAACATTTGCACAGCCATAGTGATGGGGAGAGGGAGAGAGTATGCATTGAAAATGGATCTAACTACTAAAAATATTGCTTTTGTTTCATCCAAATAAAACAACTGCACTTAAACCATTGAGAACTGTTTCATTATACTCTCGAGCATATCCTAATTATGCATTTTTAAACAGCTTTCTTGGTTGCATGAAAATTTTGATTATTTCGCCGATGCTTACAACTTGAGCGCCGTACAAGTTTTAACGCAAAAGTTGTGCTTCAACATTTCATTCTCCCCTAAGCACGCTCTGTGCTACCCAAAGTTCTTTGGGGTTGTCCTAAAAGAAAGCGCCGATTTTTTTAGTTTCTTAATGAAATTAAATCAATTTTTTTGTTCCCATTTAGTTAGATGTCCTTTCGCTATCTTGCCCGCAACATCATTTTTCCACGCTCATAGAGCTTCTGGGCTTTATCTGCAAAAAACTAAAATAGATGCAATTTTATAGCCTCGTCATTTTCGAAAACTTTACCATTTAATGATTTCTGCAAGGATCGAAACAAATGGTAGTCTGACAGTTTAAGATCAGGGCTATCTGGTGGATGCATCAACAATTCTCGCCTCTTTGAGTTTTTTGAAAGCGACGAAACATGTGTGCTGTCTAGCATTGTCTTGCTCGAGTATGACACTTTTCAGTTGTTCACTGAAGACATCCGCATTGATCGCTTGGTACCTTGGAAGTAGCTCAAAATATACCGCACCCTTACAACCACACCAAACTGACAGTTAACCTAGTTTTTGTGGTAAACCAGACTCAGGGTAGGTGATCCGTGTACCTTTTCAAGTAACTTGAGTTATTTTATTCCGGCGACCCACGCTGTAACTTCTTTAGAATTTTAAATGTTACTCTAAAGCGAAAACATGTTCCCGTGTATGAAACATTAAAAGGCCCTGAAAGGTCTAAGATAGTCGCCAACTTGACCACCTTTTCGTTTCGTTCCGAATACGTGTCAACTGGGAAACCAATGATATTTATTGCATATTTCCCTGACAGACTTTGCCCTGTCTTAGATCTTAACTAAGGCTTTGATGTATATAAAAAATCAAAAATCTCCGTCAGTAATATCCACATTTAGACTCGCTGCAATTGATTTTAATGTTATCTTCGTTATTTGTTCAGTCCTAATACGAGTATATTCCTGCTCTTGCGTTTGCATCGCACTACAATTTTGATATCTAGTGGAATAGAAGCCTCTATAATTTCATCTTACGACAAATCTAGAAAAAAAAACAAATAGCAGTGTTTCTCTCCTAAATCGTTAGTGTAAGTGAAGTAGAAATGTATGGTTCTATACCTGCCTAGATATTTAAATATAATACCTTAGGGACATGCTGAGAAATCCAAGTGTTGCCTACAATATTGAGGAAAACTTTGGCTTATATCAGCGCTCTGTCTGTTAGAGCAGCTCAAATAAGGGATACTAAGGAGACTGTAATCAGAATGAGCGTAGCCAACAGTGTGTGGTCTTTGAAGTCGAGAGAAAGGGAGAGGGAGAGTGAGAAAAGGAGAGCAGTGGATATTGCCAGAATACCTAGCAAAGGAACAAAATCGAAAGCAATTTTTTGACTAGTTGAGCTCAAAATCCACTCATATTTACATCTTTCGTTGGATGTAAAGAAGAAGTTATTTCTGAATTTTGAGCTATTTGTGGCATAAGCTGGTATTAGAGTACCTGATCGCTCTCTATACTGTTAATTGTTAACGAATTCTCTTTTTAAGTTCTACTACTTTGGGAGAAGTTGCGCGAAACCAGTTTTTATAGCTTTCATATATATGAAATGGTATATTAAACTTGGTCCGAAGCAGATATCTACCGGAAAAGGAAGGGATAGACACATCAAAATTTATGCCAATCGGATCAGAATGACGAATTAGGTTGATTTAGGCTATCAGTCTATCTGGTTGTTTCTCAGTTTTTGAGATATTTGGTTTGGTTTATAAAAACGATTACTTGTGGGAACCTGTAAGTTCGGTCTAATACAGAATTACAGATTTTAGATTTTTGGTGATAAACTTGTATTATGAGCACATATGACACATAAATAAAGATTGACACCGAAAATCGTCAAAATGGAAAAACTTTATCAAATACTCTCTGGTCAATTCTTCAGATCAGTTATTAGAAATTATATTTAAGCTTTAGGGAAAATGCCATAAAAATATATTGTGGTCAGGCAGACGGTTTATTCAATATTTTCATTTTACTAATCTTTTTATGCACTAAAAAACTTAAATGCATCCCTCTGCCCTACCGTATTACCACAGTGGCTAATTTCTTGACTGTGACGAATACAAGTGTTTTTTCCACGTTCTCATACATATGTACGTGTATATATACATATACAAAAAATTGTTTTACGAGTATATACATACATACACTCTCAATCACTCACAAATGAGCAAGCAAAAGTAAGTAAAGAAAATTTTTGGCACACTCTTCGAAAGCTTTTTTGGCAACCTGACGCGAAAACATGCAAACACTGAAATATTTATATATTTATATATGTACTTGTATATTGAGGCATAGTGTTAGGCGCAAAGCATGTTGAAATAATTAATTCATTCTTGTAAAACAAATCCACTCGGATTAGCCACCGCACAAATAACCAAGCAAAAACAACTGTGACTGCGAGTGCAGCCAATGAAGAAAACAGAACGTCTGCTGCCAACTGTGCGCGGTAAGGAAAAAGTGAAAATGTGAATAGATGAAGAAGAAGAAGCAGAGTGCGGTTATGCCGAGATCAGTGTAGTCATTATATTTCAGTATGTTTGAGTACAAATAAATTAAGCCTATTTAACGCTTTGAGCCATTTAAGCATTTCCACTTGTAATGGCAAAACACGCCAGCGGCGGTGGCGGCAGCAAATAACTGACCGCATTATCTCACTTTGCCAACTAAACACTATGACCTGTAACCCTCTTGTGCTCAGCTGGAGATATATATTTCTATTACAATTACTGTTGCGCATTTCAACTACATAAATAGAAACACACACACACAAATATCATATATTGTACATATGTATGCCATGTATGATTGTTACACTTTAGTATAATTCTTGCTCTTCAAGTTCCACATGTTCTTCTTGTTGTAATTTCGTTTCTTCTTTTCATTGTCTAATTAACAGGAATTTATATTCTCATTTTTATTATCGTCACGTTTATTTTTACGACCCCATGAGCTGCTTGGCAAACTATTATCCTCGGTACCTGATAGCGAGTCGTTAGAATCATTAGTCGCATTATTGGCCGAGTGGACGCAAAAGTTCCCCTACGATTATCGCGATGAACGTATGATGGGCCATGTTAAACATATCGTTGCCAGGTAAGTGAGGAGATACACGAATATTTAATTCAATTATTTTCACGAGCGTATTTGTATGTACGTCTATTATGTATATCTAATACTTGGTGATTTGAAGATGAATTCTTTGGCATCATTTAGCATTTAAGAAATTGAAAATTTATTTTGTTGAAATTAAAATTGATTGTATCCCAGATTCATAAAAGAGGGAGTCATAAAAATTAAAATAAATTTTAAATTTTATTTAAAAAAAGTGTAAAAATCACAAATTTTTTTCATATAAATATATTTATAAAAAAAAAGAAAAATTTTGTATAATATTCTTTAATACCTCTTATTAAAAGCTCACTAAAACAATTTAAAAAAATTAACACGACACTTTGTAGACTCTCCCATTTGTGCGGTTGAAACGAAAAGAAAAATCACATAATTAATTAATTATTATTTTAATAAAAAAATGTCCCGGATTTTATTTTATATCTACAAAGCATGTTTTTGTAATTTTCTTCAATAACTTTTAGCCAAAAATAAAAAGAAAGAAAAAAACCAAAAATTTGTTGTTCATTAATTTATCCATCTAGTTATTTGAATAGAAAAGGTTGATTTTTTAAGAGCTATAGGAAAGTTCTTCAAAAAAAAAAAAAACAAATAAAAATTCAGAAAAATTCATGAAATCTTTAATTGAGTCAATAGTACGGTCCATATAATTTAATGTTTGAAGATTATTTTTTATGCAATTATTGACGACTGCGCCTCAAACGGTCCATCCGCTTAGTCCAATTTTGGCCTACTCTTTCCAATATTTCGGCTGTTATCTCACGAACAAATGCTTCAGTGCTGTATAAACATTAAATTTAACATAGTCCCACAAAAATAGTCTAAAGGCGTTAAATCGCACGACCTAGGCGGCCAATTGACCGGTCCCGAACGTGAAATCAAATGTTCACCGAACTTGCCTCTCAATAAGTCCACTGTTATGCGTGATGTGAGGCGTCTGGTTGAAACCACTTACCATGCAAGTCAAGCTCTGGCACTTTAGGCAAAAAAGAAGTTTGTTATCATTTCACGATAGCGCTCAAAGTTCACAGTTACGTTACGATTCGAATCATCTTTGAAGAATTACGGTCCAATGATACCACCAGCCCATAAGCCGCACCAAACTGTGTTCTTTTCTGAATGTAGAAGTTAGGTCTAGCAATGCTTCAGGCCGATCTTTCTTAACAGAGCACGCATTTTGATTATAAAATTCAGTATATTGCAAGCGTTGTTCGTTTCTAAGACGATTCATGGTTATATTATAGACCAAACTGAAGATGTTTGACAGTGCGGAACGTCACGTTACGCGCGTTGGTTGTTTAAGCCGGTGTTGCCAAAAAGATAATAGTTAAAAAAAAATCACACTTTACAAGGCTGTATTTTGACATCAGTCGAATTTTAACGTAGAACCATTAGAAACAAATATAAAAAAAAATATATTATTAATTCAAAAAAACTTTTCCATTTTAGGAACGAATAAAAGATATTTTATTACCAATTCCGAAATTTAACATAGACTTTTTTTTAAGTTTTTTAGAAAAACTCATCATCACGGGCTTAAATAAAATTGCATTCTCATATTTAATTTTTAAAAAAATTTAGAGAGAGAAAACTACAGAAATCTTTGAAAATTTAAAAAAAAAATTATTTCAATGAAATTTTAGGCAAATAAAGCAAGAAATTTCGCTGCGTTTTTTACTTTTGAATTTCATTTTAATCTAAGATTTCTACACATAAAAGGCAATTAAATTAAAAATTATTTACTTCAAAGCTTGAAAAAAATTAAATAAACATTAAATAAAGTATTTGATTTTTCAACTTGACAATTTTTTATGTTAACCAATTAAATATTTAATTTTTGAAAATAATTTTTTTTTTAAACTATCCACCTATTTGATTCATTAAATCTAACATATTTATTTTGTACTACCACAAGCTATTTGCTTAAGTCTCCTTTATTGGTACAGTGATTGTACGAGTATATGTAGTTCACACACATATAATATATACCTACTTTTGTTTGACTTGCAGATGTTCCAATACAAATCTAGAAGGTGTAGTTTCCGAAATACTGAGTGCCTTGTTGAAACAATTGACTGATTTGGAAAGACATGAAGAAGATCTACGTGCTTGTCAAAGTACAATTGAGAAGGTAAATTTAATTGAGATTACACGAATGATACATATATATGTAAATTTATTAACACAAAAAGGTAGTAGGAAAAGATTGGCGTAAATGCAAAAATTTTAACAAAACTAAAATGTAAAATTATACCTAAAACGAAATATAAAAATTAAATGGAAACAATAGGCAAATACGGATATAAGATATATAGTTTTATTTTTGTTATTTTTTTTATGCAAAATGTAAATGTTTTCACTGTTTTGGTAGCAAATTTAATAATATTCAAATAATCAAAATAATAAAAAATATCAGCTCAAATATATAAAAAATTATTATGGCAACATTGCGACAACTTTTGAGGACCTGAGACTGACGACACCGACAGCCTCCTTTCCGCAAGTCACTTTGCCGGTAATTTTACCCATTAGATCTTCAATGTTTTTTAAGTGATAGTCCATCGCAATATTTTGCTATGTTCTCACAAATTTAGACTTTGTGTGCCTCTATTTTTTCGCCCAAATTTCGATCTGCAGAAGCTCCAAAGTGAATTCCCTTTACTCACTTACTAACCTACGTAAGAGATTTATCAAAAAATTATTCCAAGATATTTGGCAGAGCTAGAAGTTATTACCACAATTAAGGGATTGTTTTATTGTATTCGTGTTTTATTGTCTCTTTTATCGGTGATGACGACGTCAGCCGCATAACATCCTTTCGCTAAGTTTCCTATTGAGGACATTTTAAATAGTTGATCTATCACCGCGATCCACAGCAGTCTTCAAAGTCATTTTGAATAAGTATTTTTGCGTGTTCAACGACAATTGGCGAGATGATTTACGTCAATTTATGCCATGAGGTTTTACTCTCGCTTACGTATGGATTTTCTGAATTATGCCCACGACTTCGTGAATTGCCGTTTGAACCGATTTGTATTTGGCGTACTCGTGTTGTAGCATAAGCAGCCGCTCGAGTGGTTTTTGCTGTTTTTTTTCATATTTTTCTACCGAGAGAATGTTAGACTGATCGGTCTGTATTAGAAATTTAGTTAAACATTAATTCTATATATTTTATACTTTCACTAACATACCTAACACTCGTTATACATTACATTTTTCTCTTTTACTCTCAATAGGATTCACTCTCCCTTGTCAGCACATTTGATTGTACAATATATGGCAAAAAGTATGGATCTAGTAGGAAACAAATTCTGAAAAAATTAAATAATAAACAAATATAAATATAAATGACAATAAATAGACTAATAAAAATAAAATAAAAAATAAAATTAAGATTTTATTAAAAATATTAAAAATTTAAATAAAAGTGCTGAAAATCAAAAACAAAAACTAAACTCAAAATAATTTGAGTCAAAAATTTTAAATTCAAATTGAAAAAAAGCGCATATTAAAACTAAAAAAAATAAAACATATTTAAAATAAATATTATAATTAATGTGAACGAAAATTGACGCTGGCCTTTTTTTTATTTAATTACTAGAAAAAAGTTTGGACAATTTTATTTTCAAAATTAACCCATAAAATACATTGTACAATTTTCCCACAGTTAAATATACTTTGCTAAAAATATAAAAAAATAAATAGGCGAATGCATAATTGTGTGAGCAAAAAAAATAATACAACAATTGCTTTATTTTATTTTTGCTTCAGCGTAAGAAGGTAACAATCCGCCATACAGATGCCACCATTACAAAATTTGCTAATTTTAGCTATTATTTGAAAAAAACGAGAGAAAAATGTTGGATGGTGAAAAAAATGTATGATTTTTAAGGTGTTGATACTCTTCATTCAGGCAAAACCCATTCGTTTTTCGTCAGCAAACTGGTGCTCGAAAACTGATTTTTTGGGCAATTTTTTATTGAGAAAAGTTTGGTAAATGGTTGTTCGTGTGAAAGTTATTTTGATTTGAAAATGATTGATATTTCACAAGAATTTCTGTAAAAAAGATAAAAGCTTTACCTCGAAAATGTGATATGTGAAACACCAGCCCAGCAGTGGCTTGCTCGATGTCTTGCTATTAAAAATTCCGTGGAAATCCTGCACATGATGGAGCAAATGCGGCATGAAGATTGCGGCGGCACTAGACGTCACTCTGTCACGAATGATGAAAAATCAATGAAATATGTCAAATATAAGACTAAAAAAATCAAGGAAGGCAGCTGAATTGAATATTAGGAGATGATTATGGTGGAATTGAAATGAAATTGCCCACTATAAGTTGCCAGATTCTATCAAAACAATTACCTGACCTTAGTTCTATTGTCAACAATTCACCAACTTACAATAAGTCATTCAAAAAACCGAGTCAGAGTGGATTAATGAAAAGTTGCTGTGCGTCGTCATTATAATGCCATACCACATACGAGCAATTACATTTTTGATGACCAAAAAAATTGACGGAGCTTTGTTGAGACGTTTCCATGCATATAGCATATGCCAGCGCTGCTCTGTTTGAGCGAAGTTTATTTGGACCGTACTCCAGCACTCCGCGCAGTAAAGAAATGGCTCGCGAAATTTCGTTCTGGAGATTTTAACCTCGAAGATCAACGTCGCAGTGGACGGCCTTCTGAGCTTGATGACGATGTTCTAAGGACTTTAGTTGCGAATAACTCACGTATTTCGACGGCAGAGGTTGCCATTGAATTGAACGTCAACAAATCAACTGCGTTTCGTCGTTTAAAAAAGGTTGGGTACACTTTGAAGCTCAATACATGGGTGCCACATCAGTTGAGTGAAAAAAAACAAAGTGGACCGTATGTCAACAGCAATTTCTTTGCTTCGACGGATCAAAAACGAACCTTTTTTGGATCGGCTCGTGACTGGTGATGAAAAATGGATGCTGTACAACAATGTTCAACGCAAAAGAACACGGAAACCGGCACACGTAGGGGCGGAACCGATGTCGAAAGGTAGATTGCATCCGATGAAGGTACTGCTGTGCATTTGGTGGGATATCTGAGGCGTGATCTATTTTGAGCTCTTGCCAGCTGGAGAAATGATCACTGCCAACAAGTATTATCAGCAATTGGTCGAATTGAAGAAAGCAATTGATGAAAAACGTCCGATTTTGGCCAATCGCAAAGGAGTTCTTTTCCATCATGACAACACCAGGCCACATGTTGCAAAACCGACCCTGGCCAAACTGAAGGAGATGAATTGGGAAATCGTGCCGCAACCCCCATATTCACCAGACATTGCACCTTCTGATTATCATTTGTTTCGATCCCTGCAGAACAATTTGAATGGAAAAAAACACCTTGACACCTTTTTCAACGAGAAACCGCGCGATTTCTATGAATCAGGCATCCGTAAATTGGTTGAACGTTGGAAGTGGATTTCCGAACATGATGGCAAATACATAATTGATTCAAAAAATTTCAATTTTAGTTTGCACTTGAAATCGGGCACGAACTTATGCACTCATCCAATACAATATTTTTCCGACAGGGTCAGCTGTACACATGTTTTGACAAGCAGCATTGCTACTTGTATAATAAATAATCCGTTCTTACTAATTGGCAATGCTTTGATATATTAGTTTGTAACTAACTTGATTAGCACGTATTGTATTTATCTATGTATGACTGTATACATACGTGTATGTATATGTGCTGGAATTAATACAAATTTATACAAAGTTGCAGCACAAAACGCCAGCTAAATAAAAGCAGCTAACTAACTGCTTATTTAATATATGTATGTATGAGTTTGATATTGAATTGTATCAACAAAATGGATTTGTATATTAATTAAGAAATTAAATTTCTTTGTAAATTATATATGTTCTCTATATGATTTCTGAGAAATATGTGCGTAATGCTGAATCAAATTGAGGCTTATTTTCACTGCATGAATAATGCTCATACCAATGAATTACAGCACCAACTCATTAGGATTTGTATTGTACAACTACGTAAAAGTATGTGTGTAAATGAAAAATACAAAAGTGAACTTTGCAAAATTTTTATTTCATTTGAGTTTATTATTTTGCGCAAATAGTCATTAGAGTAAGATAAGCCATAAATAAATATGTATGTAATTAATTGTATTATAAGTTTGCTGCTAAGCTCTAAACATAATCCAAATTAGTATAGTAAAAATATAAAATTATTTTTATACTTCTTAAGCTTTCCATTTAATATATACCCCTCCAACTTCTCTACTTTCAGCCCGAACTCAACAATTTAGACTGTCCGACTGCATCGCAATATGCGCAAATTCTCTGTCGGTTGGAGAAGAAGCTGGCGAAGCAAATTGGACCAGAGGAATTCGTGCAATGCAGTAGTAATGTGCTGCTGGATAAACAGGTGTGTGTGTGTGCGCGGGTGTGTTTGTAGAGGTGGAGGAAATGTTTGAACAGAAAATAATATTTGAAATATGCAGTTATTTGTTTTGACATTGATGAGTTCCTATCAGTTTACTTTATGACATATTTATTTACATACAAAATTGAAAAAAAAAAAAATAATTTTCAAAAAGCTTATAAAGATGATTTATGGAAATTAATATTCACACAGCAGCTCATATGTAAATACACACACATATTTCAAATGAGCGAACTGACAGACATGCGTTTCTAGAGCAAATACAAAACACATATCACCGGTCTTCTAACCTACATACCTACGTACATAACTCGGATTGTCCAAAACCTAAGAAAGCTGCAAACTGCATTCATCAAAGTCATAAAATTTTACTTTGCCAAACTGTTCGATTTATGCAAATTTCTTTGATTGAATTTCTACGGAAATTACACATAAGCTGGTGAAGAGAAGCTTGAGTAGCAGAAGGTAGTAGTTGATAGGGGTCGATATGAATGTAAAATGACACACAAAAAATGTTTCGTTTATGAAATGCGGAGAAAAAAGATGTTTCCTAAGGGCTGATGGATTTGCACGAACATTTTCTGTACGTCAAAAATGCATTCGTTGTGATTGTCATTCTCAGCTTAAGGGCGTCATAATTAGAAGAAAAAATTAAAAATTAATTTTTCATAATTTTATACTTTGACCGTATCAGGATTGGTAAACATCGCATTCCGCATGCTAGTATTTCACCGCTGTGACTGCCAAAGCTTTAACTAGGATTAAAAGTGCACTTTCTTTCCTCTTACTCAATTTGTTCTACATTCTGAGTAAACTGATTCTGTGAAAGTTTTCCGAAATTACTGAGCAATAATATTTTTAAACACTCCTCTCACAGCTGATTAAAGGCGATTCGCTTACTTCATTAATGATTGTGTAATTCAATCTATCACTTGCTTCTGAAGCTTGCGCTGAAGCACGATCGATTATTCTAGGCCTGATTGTAATTCACTTACTGAATGCAAGCTTCTCGCAGTTTGCCTTAGATTATTTCTACTTCTAAAAGATCACTTATAATGCATAAATGCTAAGACTATTGGCGTTTCTCGTCAACTATTATTTAGCTATCAAGTTGCCGATGAAACTCTAGTTGGATCGCCTCTATCCTAATCCACCTTCGACCGTGTTTTCCTATTGCTTTTGTGACGATTTTATGTCAAGCATACTGTGTCTTAAATTCTTGGCTATTGGTGGCCAACACAGCGTTAGCGTCTGTTTTATGATTGTTATATGTGGCTATAAAAAGAGCCGTCGCACCAAACAGCAAAAAAAAATAGTCCAAATGGCCCGAAGATCTTGTAAAAACCAGCTTGCCATTGTTGACGTAGTTATTAATTACTTATCACATAATTAACTGCAGTTGGCTTATGTGTCAGTTAAAATTCTGAATTCGACATTCACTTACTGACTACCACGAAACACCCATTTAGTGCCGCATTAAAAACGTGGGGGCGACTTTCATATCGGTCCCGTAAACCACCGCAAAGCAATTGTATTAGTGTCTCGCGGATTTCCCTCACTAATGTTGTGTGTTCTAATCACATGACGATCTCTCTCTCTCTCTCTCTCTCTCTCTCTCTCTCTCTCTTTCTCTCTTAATATGTCTCTATCTTTCTCTCTTAATATATCTCTATCTCTCTCAATATCTTTCTATCTCTCTCCCTATCTCTACCTCTCTCTCCATCTTTGGCTTCATTCATTGATCATTGTTGGGAGCCCGGTCTTCCGCTGCATCTAGGCGGATGTGTTTGCGAATATTTTTCTTTTTAAATAATTGACCTTTTAGAACGACCGGAATGGTTTTCGGAAGAGCTTCTCCTACATTTGGCACGCCGTATAGATATTATTCTAAGCTGTGCCCGATGGTGATGTTAATGATCGTTGACGCAGAGTGCACAGAAAACACAAAGGTTTTAATTTTGGTTGTCAGATCGAGCAGGATTCGAATATTTAGACATATTAACAACTATATTATTTTATTTATTTATTTTTTTTTTTTTTTGTGGGTAAAGAGTCTGACTTCAGAATGATTTTCATTTAATTTCTTACAAGACCCTCATATGTTTATATATATTTTTTTTAATTGTACAGTTCTTCCATCTTTCAAAGATATTAAATATGAACCATCAAAGTTTGCAAAATCTTTTGAACAACCTCCAACCATTCTTAACTTCCGCAAGACTCCACCTTAACTCTCTCGCTCTCTCCCCTCAATGCATGAATTACGCAACCTAACTTGAAAGCGCCTCTGACTTATACCATTGCTGTCACAATGTGTGAATGAACACACACTCACATACATACATGTATGTACATACATAAATTCTGAGTAAACGCAATTAATAACTCTTTTGGGTCTTTATCTTTCGACAGCTTGATTTTGTTTGCATACAAGCGAGTATACACGCATACATAAACATTCATACATAAACCGTATATATATGGATATACATGTGTACATGTGTGTGCTTGTTATCTGTAAGTAAAATTTAATTAAAAGCGCCTGAGCAAATTTAAGACTTACTTACGTAATTCGTATGCAATCAGAATTGCATTTCCTGCTCGACTGTCAGGCTGCATGCAGTTTAATGCCCACTTCTTTGGGATTTCCGCTTACATTTATATATATTTACGTGTATTTACAATTTTTTACTATTTTCAATTTTTTATGTTTTTGTTTTTCTTTTATATTTAAGCTCATTGTTTATTCAGTTTTTATATATTTTTTATTATTTTTAATTTTATTTTATTTTTATGCAATCTGATTAAAGTGATGGCCTGCTTTGTGTCCCAGTGCACCTTTTTAATTAAAAGAATTACAAATTTATTACCATTCAGTTGCCACTTCATTTAAATTCTCATACAAACATTGGTCACATCCGTGGGCTGAGTAAGCAAACAAATGCGCCGAGCTCAACCATCGCTGAGATTCCAGCAATTTGAGCCGTCAGCTACTGTAGTGTTTGCTGTGTGGTCTATCTGCGTGTGAATCCTTCTTCCTTTGCATGTGTGTATATACATTAACGTGGAGTTCGAGCGAATTGGCATCAGCCGGCATCAGATTCTGTCTCTATTTCTGCTTCTCTTAGTGAATTCGAGTCAGAGAGCGTGTAAAATAAACTTATTTGCAATTCTTCTTTTCATTATATTTTCCGGCATTACATAATACACACTTACACTCACATACACATACTCATATTTATGTGTGCGATTGCACATTTGCACCTCACTCCTTGCTTACTTTCATCGTTTTCCACCTTTTGTTTTTCGTCTGTTGTGCAGAAAAAATGGGATCAACCGAGCACGTCCGGCGGCGCGCCCGGTGCCCAGGATCCGAAGAAAACGTGCAATTTGGAAACATACCTGGATTGGTCGGCACGTCTGCGCCTATTCGTATGCAATGAAATATTACAGGTAAGTCACATACATACACACATCCATGCATGTGATTGAATGGACTCTCACTCATTGTGGGCCAATAGTGTTGTCGGAAATGATTTTTTAGGAATTACCGAAATAACGGGATTTCGACTAAAGGGTGTAAATTATAAGACTCCTTTTAAAAACATTTAATTATAATTACACACTTGATATGCTTCTAAATACAATATATACACATAGCTTTTCAAAAATCTTATCATCAACCCTGCTGCCGAACGGTAGCATAACGTTTTCATCACTGAAATCTAAAGTTATTATTTATTTCGGGATTCACACACCCATAAAATGAAGAAAAGAAAATATTGAATGGACACAAACTCATCTCACAGTATAATTTGGGTATTTTGTATATATGTAGCAGTGTGTATGTGTTGGAGTGTAAATCTGAACCAACTGGGAGTACAGGTAAATTAACTGTTTCTACAATTTCCATGCAGTTCAAGCTGATGAATGGGCTTAACATGGTGAACGAATGAAATAAACCCCACATGGTTCGGTTGAAGGCGAGAGCAGCTGATTGAAGGCAACAAAAATACTCTTATTAAATTAAAGCCTTATTCCAAAAAATAAATTGTCCTAAACAATGAAAAAATTAAATTAAATTTGAAATAATGAAATAAAATAAAATTAAATAAAATAAAGTAAAATGAAATAAAATAAAATAAAATAAAATAAAATAAAATAAATTAAAATAAAATAAAATAAAATAAAATAAAATAANATAAAATAAAATAAAATTAAATAAAATAAACTAAAACGTAATATAATAAAAATAATAAAATAAATAATACTAAATAAAAATTGAGTTAAATTTTCCAATTGCGGTCGCCCCTTAGCGAGGAATAGCGACCACTCCCAGTATATTTCTGACATGATATAATTCTCATAAAAAACCATCGTAGGTAGCTTAGTATTAACTGCAATTCCCTCCATTTGTTAGAAAATTATCAAGATACAAAACTAAAAATTGGAGAAAGAGCTTGTTTCAGCATAAATTTAATTCATTTTCAGGAATAGACTAAAATTAAATAAAATAGGATGAAAAAAGGTGCAATAAAATAAGACAAAATAAAATAAAATACTATAAATTAGCATAAAATAGCATAAATTTAATTTTACTTTCAGAAATAAAATGAAAGAAAATTTTAAAAGAACTGTATTTTATTCAATTGAATTTTATTAATTATTTTTTATTTATTTATTTTTCTTTTATGTTTTTTTTTTCTTTTTTCTGTATCTTCAATGCCTTCCTTACGTGACTACGCGATCAAAATATTTTGTTGTGGATAATTAAACTTGCAAGTCCCTTACAAGGGTGATGCCTTCATGCCCTTAACGACCCTACCACTCCGTTACTCGCTTCATTTTCGGCGATATATGCTTGCAATATTCACGTCCATGAAATTTAAATCAAATCAACGCCACTCCACCATAACAGCACACTGACAAAGTATAAATTCATATATGCATAAAACATACATACATACTCGTATGCTATCAATTTGGTCAGTTGGTTGCTTGCAACATGCCACAAGCTACTTAGCGTATGAAATACATATGCCTGTCATACAACATATTCTGCCTTTCAACGATGCACTTCTGCACTCATTACCACGCTTTAGCATTTCCGCGTCAGCACTTCTCGACACACACACACACACACACATGCACATGCCGCGCCACCACAACCCACTCAATATTTTTCCTCTAGCCGCAGCATGGTACTTGTGACTTGCACCAATCTTTCCTCCACTGCTTCTTACTCTGCTACTTCTTTCTTTATATTGTAATAACGTGCGAGTATATATGTATGTATTTATGTAGGTATATGTATATATAACCCTATTTGTCTGCCCTAGTACCACATTTAACATTTCATATTCTGCAACTGGCCTTGTTTTAAATGGAAAATTTAATTAAATCTGAGTGCTACACATACAATTACATACATATATGTATGAGCTGCAGCATACTCGCCCCATATTTTTACACACACAGTCATACTAATTCGGAGAGACAACGCTCTGTAGACGGTTTATGCAACAAATCTGCTGGTGTTTCCATTATATACTTTGTGTTCATTCCGGCGCTTTTAACAAAAATGCTCCGCTTTGCTGCATAAATATTTTACACAAACTCATTTATATATAAATACACCTAAATATCCCTATATGATGTGGTGCTTAGCTACTTAATATCCTTCAGGATAAAATGGAGCATTCACTAAGTCGCTGTTAGTTAGATGGTAAGAGAGACAAAAAGAGAGAGAGAGAGATGTGATGTATGTGTGTGTCTAAGCACATTTTTGTTGATGTAGTTGTTGTTGTCGTTGTGTAAAAATATGTCACTTGTCTGCTTACATACAAAATAATTCAATGAGGAAGTCAGTGCTTATGATTTCACTTTTTTTTCGTTTCCAACACAGCAGGAAGTGTAATTAAAGTAAAAGCAGACACACACACACACATATATGCAGCGTCATTATGAGATTTTTACTCATATAATCGCACAGCAGAGTGTTAGAATAAGGAGCTAAGAGAATAGCCGTGGGCTGAGTTAAAAGTTCATTTTAAAGAAAAATTATTTGCCGAGAAAAACCTTACTGGCTGTTTTGTTTTAAACGGGAATTTCTTTGTAAATAATGCTGAACTGTATAAAAGTGTCGCACAATTCATGTTTAAGACTGAAAATGTGAAGCAGAGAACAAAGTGATATTTGAGAACAGAAATTTTTCAAAATCGAAAATCTTTTTCAGTTTTATTCTTGGCTCACAAACGACTTTTTCAGATTTCTGCGGGCCTACAAAAAAAAAAGTACGTGAACTAAACTTCTATTAAACTCTCCATCGATTAAAAAAATGGACGTAGGATTCATGAAAATTTCCCGATTTCACTTTGCTCCTATTTTATTCTATTTTTTTGATTTCAATTTAATACCAAAACTCTTTACTGGATTCAGTGGAAGCCCCAGAATGGAAAGTGTTTCTTAACAGCAGTGCGTCAATTGGAGATTTCAAATGCACCGAGGTCGCTTATGACCTGATACTCCCAGCGGTGTGGAGCTCTTCTCCTTCTTATGTTTCCACAGACAAGGCATACAATATTTCCAGCACTGGAGTATACTCATCCATCCAGATAAAATTGATTGAATTGAATTGATATTAATTGAATGACCTATCCAGCTTAGCTGCTGTCCCTTGATTCGTGAAACTATGTCAATTTCGCCGTATATATCAGCACCTTGTCGCTCCATCTGCTGTGATTCTGCCGGATGTCTATGCCACATTATCAGTCCGGAAACAGCAATGTATCTCGATGTAATTTTTATATAGACAACCGTAATCCGGGCCCGGCGAGGTCGATAACCTTACCAATTCTGGGTGTGTTTCATTGCAGATGCTAAGTTTTTCGACAGTTGTGACGAAGATTTCATCCTTTTCCATCCTAGCGTTAAGGTCTTTAGCACAATTTTTACATCGTAGCGATACTAGCGCTCATGAGTACACTTTTGGGGCTCTCAAAAGGTATCCAAATCAGCAATATTAAAAAAAAGTACGCTTTGATAGGATTGTGGCGAGGCGCGTCCCGACCAAATATCACTAGGACCTATTCGTTTACATCATTGGTCCGTCTATCGCACTTTATGGAAGACAGCTTCTGACATCAACCAGCTGAGCAGTGGCGTCTTCCCAATTAAGGTACCAAACTTCTCATTTGCAAGCTCGCAAATCATGATCCTTAATTCGTTTGCGGGGATCGCCAACACAAAGGCGGTATCTCATCCGAGGCGTTGTCACATTTTTCATTGGAGCTCATCCCTACGTGGCAGGTCCCAAACCCAGCGCACAACCTTCCTTAGTTAGTAAATTTAAATTTGTTACACATTAAAGGCCTCATCGGTGAAAGAAATTTAGCACATAAATGTCGGATCTTTTTGGAGCTTTTTACGAGCCCATAGATCGAAACGATGTCGCTTGGGAAAGTCGACCAGTAACAGTTCTTGCGCAAGCTGTATTTTGTACGTTTTCAATTTAAGATCGCTACATAAAATGCGCCATAAGTCAGCCCGAGCTGGTGCGAACGGCACCGAATCGACTCTCCAAGGTCTTCGTGTTCAATATCAGCTCTCAGCCGCGTATGCGGCCTCTATTCGGTCGAATATTATCCATTAATGAATGCTGGGTCTCGATTGTGTTGACCATAAGTTGAACGAAGCTCGCAAAACACTTTCTTTATAGAACGTGAATTACCGTTGTAAAAAATGTCTGGGCGTTAAAATCACATGACAACTTGACCCGACTCACGCGTAATCTGTCAAAAAATGTTCTCTACTTGGATCACCTGATATATATGTAAATAAATATGTTAGTATACGATATGTGACTAACACCTGCTATTATGGCTGGTACCCAAGCCCACGAGCGATGACTCGCACTCAAAACTATCCATATTCTCATACATATGAACTCATTCAGTATGGGCTACAACTTGATTTACAAATGTTAAAATGAGCAGCATCAATACGAAAATTGTACATACAAATTAATATATTAAGTGTAGTAAAAAGTAATCCATTATTTTTGCATAAAATTGAAGGCATCACTAGAAGCAAATTTTCCTTCAGCAAAATTGTTCGCAATGGGCGGGAAATCAATTGGTGCAAGTTCGAGACTATATGGTAAATACATAAGAACCTCCCAATTACGTACCCAGGCATTTTGGCGAGTCACAATCGCTGTGTGGCCTGGCGTTGTCTTGATGAAACATAGTTCCGCTCCTCTTGAGTAAAGCTAACCGCTTTTGGACGATTGTTGACTTCAGACGGTCCAATCGTTGACAGTACAATTCCTAGTTAAGGGTTTTGCCGTATGGAAGTAGTTCAATAGTATATGATTCCCTGCAAGTCCCACACCAAGCACAGAGCGAAACCTTATAGGCAGTCAATCCTGGCTTGGACACCATTTCCAACGGTTC